CTGCTCACAGACACATCCTCGCCAGTTCTGGTTCTTAGATAGAAGATAAGCTAATTTCTAAAGTAATAATAGGCCGCCCATGCTTGCTTATACTTAAAAAAAAGTTTGATTTAGCTTAGCTAGAAGATATAACTGTAAGCTAATTTCCTTTAAGTAATAATAGGCCGCCCCCATGCTTGCTCATACTTAGAGAAAGTTTGATTTAGCCCCTAGATTATATCATACCAAGTCAGTGATTGTCAGAAATCAACAGGTCTTTAATGCTCTGCCTATGCTCCTTCCATTGAGCCTGAATGTATGACTAATTCTGGCCGTAGGCTGTGGAAACATCAGCCTAAACAATCTACTAGACTTTACATTTATTTTACAATTTTACATAAATTTTTCAGACAAAGATATTCCATTCCAGTTCACACAATTAAACAAAAAAGCCAATTAAGATTGTACAACATCAATTACTCAAAGATACATTTATAAGTTAGAGATTAATACCTGACCATGTAGAAATACATTCAGTGCTCAGAGACTTATACACGGCAACGGGTTATCCTGGCTACAGAATCCCACAGACACTTCTCCACATTTCCCTTAAATACTTAATTTACCACAATGTCAAGACAATAAAAGCTTCACCAAGACTCTTGCCTGGTCATGAGTTGATGTGAAGACCATTTTCCCTGGAGTAGAGAATCTGGCAAAGATCTTATCAAAGTCAAAACCCAAATTAACCGATATAAGAGAGATTGTAAAATATTACAGTGAAATTAGAACCACTTTACCAATCACACAGAGACCTTTAAAATGACACCAAACATGAATATAGAGCCATAAGATATACCATATTAAAAACTTGGACATTCCGTGTGGAGCTGCTCTGGTGGAGAAGGTAAAGTCCAAAGGAGGGGGGATGCATGATCGAGACAACCTGAACAACTGGTTTCCTAGCTGCTCTTCTTCTCAGATTAGAACGTTTATTGTTTTAGTGCCTGACCATTCTCGTGGTCTTGTCTCGTGTGGAGTTCCATAACAGTTTTCAGGGTTTAATATTATGGAGAGATATAGCCGTCCTTAGTTTTGTACTTGCTGTCTTATCAGAAAAGCCCCCATAAGAAACAAATCTCATGATTTTCCCATAGTAATTCCCCATAATAATAGATATTTTCACGTTTGAAAGCTGTTTAAACAGAGATATCCCAGATGTAACCACAAGTGTGTGTAAGTCCCTGGCAAGGCAAGTCATTTCACTTGATGGCCATCTTTAAACCGCCTCTGCAGGCAGTATGCTCGGGGATTCTGCTTGAATGGGGTAACATCAAATTCTACAAAATAGATTGCCAAGCGTCCGATTAAATTTCATAATATGATCATTATTTAAATTATACAACAACTGTCTCTTCAGTTTCATTTCTAAATGTTCGATTGACACAAAATCTGCAGAAAATCACATCTGGTCCATTTGTCTCTTCCGGAGAATCATCAGTCTATACCAGTGGTTCTCAAACTGTGGTACGTGTACCACTAGTGGTACGCGGAGGAATGAAATATGTCATGTACATGCTACACACATTACAAAATTTATCAAAAATGATGTATATAATATGTCATATATGACATATAGCCTATATTTCTGAGGTAATCTGCCACGTTTTTTAACTGTGCAGAGTTGTAGCTGCTTTACTGTACCTACTGCACTACTGTATTTCAATACTGCTCATTTTGGTGGTACTTGGAGACACAATTGTTTTCTGAGGTGGTACTTGATGAAAAACGTTTGAGAACCACTGGTCTATACCGATCAATGATTGGCTCCTGTACTAGTAGGTGATGCTTCATTTCCCATTTAGACTGTTAGTTTTCCCCATTCAAATATATATGAGTGACATGTCTTGTGTATTGTATAGTCTTTGGTATAACTGCAGCCCGGACACCTTAAGTGGGATGGACTTAAAACACAGGTTTAAGGTTAGATTGGATATAGCTGTGGCTTTTAGGTATGCGGTGCGCATTTGTAGTTTATCAGTATAGTGTAATTTTTGTGACCATGTAAACAAGAATTACTGTAAGGGGTAGATGTTAATAAAACACAATAGGTAGACTATTAAGACATATAAATCAATCAAAAGCCTCAAGAAATTTTGTACAGAACAATTAAAGCTCAAGTCCTGCCTATTTGAAGCAGACCTGCCCAATTGGAGCTGGCTCTGACCTCTGCTTATACATGACTCAAATGACACTTTACTGCACTAGATAAAAATATCCTTTTTTTTTAAAAGATTTATTTTTGTCCTTTTTGCCTTTATTAGATAGGACAGTATTGAGACAGGAAGCGAAGTGGGAGAGAGAGAGAGAGAGGGGGTAGGGTAGGGAAATGTCCTCGAGCCGGGATTCGAACTCGCTATTGCACCATATGTCGGCGCGCTAACCACTAGGCTATTGCGCCGACAAAATGATACTTTTTTATTTAGATACCCAGTTTTGCCCATTTCTGAATTAACCCGATACCCTCATCAAACACTAAACACAAAAATTGGGCTGATATTGTGTTGCTTGAATCCACAATTAGACCAACAAGTTTAATTTTGTCCTTGTAGATTTATTACAAACAACTGAATTTGGAGTAGTGGATTCTTAACAGTCCTTCTTTTGGGCAAATCTTCAATGTGGCGAGGGCCACGACATGCCTCGCCGTCTGAATTTCAAATGTAAATGACAGATTATTCACTGATGCAAATACCTTGGTCGGTTGGGTGCAATGTGGAAAAAAAGCTTTGACATTTCCAAATACATAATGAAAAAACCACAGAACAGAATACAAAATCAAATCATGCATCTTCTGGATTCAGCAGGTGAATTAAGAACATTTTATACTAGGTTTAACCCATCATTAGAGACCAGAGAAAATAAACCTCGCTTTGGATTGAGATCTGCGGACAGTGGAGTGTTAATAGCAGCCTCCACAAGATGGACGCTGTACGGATGGATTTGGGTTGCAACAGTACACTTGTAGGCTGTTGAGCTTAAATGATGCTTAGCTTGTTCTAGGCATGCCAAAAAAAAAATGAAACCCCAAACCATTACATCACCAGCAGAAGCACAAACTGTTGATTAAAAACCCCAGGATGGACCCTTTTGATGCTGTAGTTCATCTGCTTCAAGTTTTGGCATGTTGTGTGTTCAGAGATGCTCTTCTGCAGTTGTAAAAGGTGATTATTTCAGCTTCTATCGGCTTGAAACTGTCTGATCTTTCTCCAGTGATATCTGGCAACAACAAGGCCACTTTGTCCTCTTTTTTTCTGACCATTCTCTGTAAACCCTAAAGACAGTTTTGTAAGTTCATCACAGTAGATCAGCAGTTTCCCGTTTGGCACCAACATCTCTTGTTAACATGTTAAAATCTCTTTTATTCCCTATTCCCTATTCTGATGCTCAGTTTGAACTTAAGCAGATCTAGATGCCTACGTCAGGATGACCACATCTAGATGCCGAAACGTTGCTGTCAAGTGATGGACTGTGTCTATATTGTTTGCAACTTTATGACTAAAGTTGAAATTGAAAATTAGAAACAACATATGGAGTTTTAATTAATGATGATTACATCTCTATTTTCACAGAAAACGCAACTGTAGATCAAGCAGAATCCTCTCCTCCAGAGGAAACACCAGGTAAGTAGGGTAATATGATGCAAAGACAGATCTAACAACGTCAGCTTCTCGTGAGGATAAACGTCTGATTTCCCATTATTCTCTTTCAGCCTCTGGTCAAGATGGTTAAATGTGCATTAACTGGCATGGCTACTACAGGATCCAGATTCTACCACCTGTTTTTGGATTTCATGCGAATGGTTTAAATATAAAATTGAACATTAGTTTATTATATGCAGTTCAAGTCAGAATTATTTGCCCTCCTGAATTATTAGCCCCCTTTATACCCCCCCCAAGATTTTTTCCCCCAACACAAATCTAAACATAATAGTTTATTATCTGTAGTAACTAATTTGTTTTATCTTTGCCATGATGACAGTACATGTACATATTTTTTCAAGATACTAGTTTTAAGTGCAATTTAAAGGCCTAACTAGGTTAATTAGGTTAAATAGGCAAGTCATTATATAATGATGTTTTTTTTTGTAGACAATCGAAAAAAAAAAAAGATATTGCTAAAGGGGGCTAATAATATTGACCTTAAAATGGTTTTTAAAAATTTAAAAACTGATTTTATTCTATCCAAAATAAAACAAATAATAAGAAAAGTTTTGTAGGAAATACTGTGAAAAATTTCTTGTTCTGTTAAACATCATTTGCTCAATATTTGCAAAAGAATAAAAAAATTACAGGAGGGTGAATAATATTGATTTCAACTGTATATTATAGATATTGCTTGTCTGTTGCCAAGATATAGACCATGTGGTCTTTAAAGACTTTGTGCCTGTCTTTATGTACACTAAATACAAGCACCCCAGTTATAGTTTTGTGAATTATAATGGCTGCCTTCAATTAATTTTCCCTTCCTAACATTTCATATTAGTGGCTCATTGAGAAGCTGTACCTAGACCTGTCATGATATCAATATTTGTTGTACAATATATTGCACCAAAATATGTTGCGATAAACAATATTACTGTCATTTTATGGCACTAATTATATAATGCCAGAAGGACAATATAATGTCATCACGATGCAAGTACAGTCTTCAAAAGAGCACATCATATTTATTCATAAGAATATTAATTAAAGTTAATTTGAACTATTCAATAGTTTGCCATTGGAATCAAAATGTGAAAACGCATATCCTAAATAAATAAATAATAATAAATGTTAACAAAAAGTGCAAGGTATACAGTAAAAGAGGCTGTGATATCTGCTACCAGATCTATTTTGTATTTGTGTTATCAGGCACCCACATGAAAATATACTATAGTAGTTTATATAAATGCTATAGTGTTTTTTTATCATACTGATACCCCCATTAGAGATAGAGAAGCTGTGCAATGTTAAAATCTTGCTAGAATTGTTTTTTATTTATGGGCAATAAATATTGCTTCACCAAAAATGATTGAGGTCATGTCCGTGTGTTGTGCGAGAAGTCAATATATTGATTATTGTGACAGGCCTAGCTGTACCACCTGAATAAAAGTTGCAAATAGCCAAAAAAATAGATAAATAATGGAAATTTTTCAAATAAATGTTATTTATATATGTATATTGTTTAAACTGTTACTGTAATCATAAAAATCATAATTACATGTTGTATACATTTACAATGACAATATTTAATAAACAGGCCTATATTATATGTATGCTAATGTTTTCCAGCGAATAACAGAAGAGATCAGAACGCTACGAATGGAGGAAATATTTTGTGGTGGGGTTGGATCTCATGTGATATTGACAGATTTGTTGGAGTTAAGAAATAAAGTTTAACTTGAACGTTGTTTGAATGGTTACTGTAATAAATCAAGTCCATATAATGATGAAAGATCAACAATAAATCACAAAGTAAAAATCTTTTAATGATTAGTGAAAAAGGCCTCAGATGATGGAAGGGAATGATTTTCTTTCTATGGTCATCCAGTCATGCTGGAATTTGTAATGCGTTATGTGGTTAATCTCCAAATAACGAACTGTATTTACAATTTGTGACGCATGCTGGGATCATATAGTCAGGAAGCCTCTGTAATTGGTCCCAGTACAGCGACTGCTTCAATCTCAACAAGCCCCCCCTGTGAAACAGAGTGAAGTTAAAGCACAAGTACTATATTTTACTGCATTTTATAAATATTAGTGGAGTCATCACACACACACACACAAAAAAACATTTTCCAGATTGCAGCTTGTAAATTTTCAGACATTCCATGATCTGAAAATAGATGATTTAGAAGTTTGTAAATTAGGCTATATATTATTATTATTATTATTAATATTAATGGGTGTTTTTAGTAGTGCAAAGTTTATTAGACCATTTTATTTCTTTTTTAGAGGTCTTGTTGTTCATAAAAATACAGTGAAAACCCTCCTGAATCACGTTTATGATTTTATGGAGAGCTTTATAAATTAGATGTATGGTTTGTTATGACAGGACAATATTTGAGTGTGTCCTCGCTGCAGCATGATGGTGTATTGGATCAGGTCCAATATGAAGTGACCGTGCATGCATAGGCAATTATTGCGAGAAATGTGAACTATTTCTTTTAATTATTGAAGTGCTCATTACATGGTGTGTTATTAATATGTACACCAACCCTAAACCCAACCATTAAAGTAGCATAGTGGGTGTTACAGTATGTATTGAACTTTTTGTATATCTGGGTAAACATTTTTAAATGACCTTTACCAAATTGTCCAAATTCAGCTCTTAGCAATTCATATTAATTAAAAATATCTATATATGTTTTGATATATTTACATTAGGAAATTTACAAAATATCTTCATGAGACATGATCTTTAGTTCATAGTTCAGGAAAAATCTATAATTTTGACCAATGCAAGGTATTTTTTGGCTATTTCTAAAAATATACTTGTCAAATTAGGAGTGGTTATGTGGTCCAGACTAGAGATAATATTAAAATATAAAATAACTGTTTTTTTATATATTACTCCTGCAACTGCTTAATCAGTCATGTGATCCTGATTGGCTGCTCTTTGGAAATAAATGAGCAAACTATAATACATCATTCTCCAACAAGATTCTACAATGTATTCTACAAGTATTTTAATACAGCTGCAGTAATTTGACATAATTTTTTTCTTAACATTATCAGCGTCTTTCATTTTCGACAAATAAAAAAAATTCCTGCAAGCACAATAGGCCGACTTAGGACTTAAGCTTAGGACTTTAGGGTTCTTTTGTACTCAACACAAAAATGTCAGTGAACAACGGTCTTGAATCCAAAGTTCTTCGTTTGACTGTTTAATGGTAAATCTTAAAGCATAAATACGTAGGATATTTATTATATTTAAATATTATATTTATTTATTTTCTTACAAATTAACTTTGCAGTTAGCATAGGTCAAAAGACTGTGTTACTCTAAAGTCCAGTGCCTTCTGACTGATTTGCGGGGTTCTAAATCTAACAATCAATCAAATTACGTTATGCTACATCACTGGTTAACTGTTCACATTACAATTTCTACATTTCATTTGCAACACATGGACTTTACTAAAACTCTAAATATTATTACATCCATAGAAATGGCTTCAACAATTCATTTATGATCAATAGTTAACTGGTTCATTTGGCAAATGCCTCAACTAGTCTGCTCTTAAAGGTCCTGTGAAGTGCTTTGAAATATGGATTTTTTATTTTGATTATTGGTGTAATCTCAACTAAAAAACATAAAGAGGGCAGGACATAGATTAGCTCCTCCCTTTTAAAAACAGCAGCCAATAGGGTTTTGTTTTATCGCAGCTCTGCCGGTGAGAGTGGTTGAGCTCAAGAGCATCAAATGAAAAGAAAATGTCAAGCATCTTGAAGAGGGCGGGGCATGTTAGATACTAGAGAGCATCTGATTGGTCAAGATTTGATGAGAAACTGAGGTATGCGGTGATGTGAAAAAAAAGTTGATCCATATAGTGGCAAACTACAAGCTTTACATCAGTTTTATATATTTTAAATGTGAATGTTGTCATTGTTTTGTACCACACTAGCTTATAGATATCCTTAGAAGACTAACATACTAATGCTAACATTTAAAAAACATTATGTTAATTTCACTGGATCTTTAATACTTACTCTGGGCAGGGCCACGACTTGATAAGCAGCTCTAGCTGGGAAATTGCTCTTGAAAACTAAGAAAAACAACAGAATGTAAATAAATTGACAACTTCAAGTCTTGTGAAATAATAAAAACAATCCTTCATCACTACATTCATATGTCTAATCAATTACATGATGAGTATTAAAGCGAGAGTCGGCACGAGTGTTTGTTCAAGCTGTAGGTTTTGCATGTCATGGAAAGTTCAGTGAGGTGGAGGCAGAGATGATGGGCTGTCCTCATTGCAGAGGAGGCTTTCGTTTCACAGAATTGCACTATATCCTTTTACACGCAGACAGGATAGGATTACCCATCGCCATTGTATTAAAGAGGAAATACCCGGAGGGCCACACGGAGGCATCATTGTGTGACATTTGAATAATCAATAACTTGCTTGAAGAATTATCACCCAAGTGCATGATGGGAAGCAAAGGTATTTTAGGGAAGGTATCAACAGGAGTCGTGTGTTTTTGAAACCGCAGCAATTTATGCCAACATCATTCCTGATTATGTGGGTTTCTAGCTTAATTAGACTATTAAAAGTGTAAGGAAAGTCTGTGGTTGTGTGTTTAGGGTTAAATGTGACACTGTGGTGGATTATGAGTCCTTCATTTATTCATACTCACACTGCTTGTAAACATCATTGACGGTATTGAATTCATTAATGTCTGTCATCAGCACTGTGGCCTTGACCACTGCAAAAAAAAATATTTGACTTTATAAAGTGCCTGAAACTTGGAATATCATGACAGGTAAAGCAGGTTAAGCTCAATGACTGACCGTTTTCATATCCACATCCTGCAGCTTTCAGAATCTCCCCAATGTTAATGAGTGCCTGTAAGGTTGTAAGGTAAAACAATGTTTAAATGAGCCCTAAGGACATAATTATGAAATGATAATGAAAAATACACGCTTTATGCTTAAGTTGTTCCTAATACTTTGTTTTTTTGTTTTTTGTACTTTAAAAAAACATATTTCTATGTATTATTGTGATGTATAATAGGGGTTTGGTGAAAAATAAACTGAATTTCAACGTATTATTTAATGAAAATCCTGACATTTATATTTTGTTGATGACTGTGTTTTTGTAAACAAATTGCAAAACAACATCTGTAAAATATGTCATGTTCTTAATCAAAGAAGGAAATAATGAAGGATGGGGCACATACAGTTGAAGTCAAAATTATTAGCCCCCCTTTAATTTTTTTTTCTTTTTTAAATATTTCCCAAATGATGTTTGGCAGAGCAAGGTTGTTTTCACAGTATGTCTGAAAATATTTTTTCTACTGGAGAAAGTCTTATTTTTTTATTTTGGCTAGAATAAAAGCAGTTTTTAATTTTTTAAAAACAATTTAAGGTCAAAATTATTAGCATATTTAAGCTATATATATTTCTTGGTTGTCTACAGAACAAACCATCATTAACTTGCCCTAATTACCCTATCCTGCCTATTTAACCAAATTAACCTAGTTAAGCCTTTAAATGTCACTTTAAGCTGTATAGAAGTGTCTTGAAAATATTTAGTCAAATATTATTTACTCTCATCATGGTAAAGATAAAATAATTCAGTTATTAGAAATAAGTTATTAAAACTATTTAGTTTAAAATGTGTTGGAAAAATCTGCTCTCCGTTAAACAGAAATTTGGGGAAAAAAATAAACAGGGGGGCTAATAATTCTGGGGGGCTAATTCTGACGTCAACTGTAGCTTTGGAACAATATCAGGGTGGCTAAATAATGACTGAATACAGTGTGTGAATTACACATTGACAATTGGGGCACCTTTTTTGGTAATGTTAGTTTATGTAATACATGCTTCAGTGAATCAAATGCATGTGTTTATTTAAATTACATCTCATTTATTCATAGATTGTATTTAAGTTTTCAGTGTTTTGTGCGTTGTTTCTTACTTTAGAACAAACTATGAGCCTATTTAGGCAAAATGTAGAAACACACATCTATTTTATGGAAAAACATGGTTTTCTCCAAGTTTTGTGAACTCTTTCGGTGTCTATCGGTGCTCTACATCTGCCAGTTTCAGACTGCTCAATGACTTTTTTCTTGCATGGACTGATTGGCATTATTATGCATTTACAATGGTATGAACCATTACAGGGGTGCTCAAATGGATGTCTATCATTTTTATTTATAAAGCACATTTAAAAGCAGTCACAAGACTGACCAAAGTGCTGTACATGAGACAAGATAAAAAATAAAAGACAGAATATAAACACAAGCAAGCGAAACGTCTGTAAAGATGTAAAAAATTAGCGATAGAATGAACTATTAAAATAATCTTAAAAAGCCAAGCTAAAAAGGTATGTTTAAAGACGTGATTTAAAAGTGGATAATGATGGAGCCAATCTAATCTCAAGGGGCAAGGTGTTCCAACCGAGGACCTGCCACAGAGAAAGCTCTGTCCCCTCTACGTTTTAGCCTAGATTGTGGAACTGACAGAAGATTCTGCTCACTCGACCTGAGAGATCTCACAGGAGTGTAAGGATGAAGCAGCTCTGCGAGATAGAATGGGGCTAGATTGTGGAGGGATTTATAAACCAGTAAAAGCACTTTAAAATCAATTCTGAATTTCACAGGCAGCCAATGAAGGTCTCTTAGAAGAGGGGTAATGTGGTCATACTTTCTGCAATTACATATAAATCTAGCAGCAGCGTTTTGGACCAGCTGAAGGCGTGAAACCTGGGATTTTGACATGCCACAGTAAAGTGCATTGCAGTAGTCTAATCGTGATGTGATAAAAGTGTGGACAGCCATCTCTAGAGTTGTGGGATTTAAAGTGTTTAACTTTAGACAGCAGACGTAGTTGATAAAAACTGGAGCCAATAACCGAACTGATCTGTTTGTCTAGTTTCAATGACTCATCAAAGATGACACCCAGATTGCGGACAGATTGATCAGAGTGATCTCAGATTCAAAGCGCTTACCACACATCTTGTTTTACGTCTTTCAGGGGGGATCAAGCCTTAATTAGGAGGGTCAATTCCCCCAAACCCCCCCATGTAATCCGCTTGTTAAGTCATGACATATGGAATACTGTTTTCCGGGTTCAAGTCGCTACTCATTTGAATTGAGAAAATATTAGTTTATGATAACTTTTTATTCATGTCACACATTAAAGTGACTTTTATATAAAATCATGTTTACACAACAGTCTTTGGACTTGCTGCATCACAAATACCAGAATGTTAACAATTTATAAAAAGTGAATCACTTTTTAGGCATGGATATATATATTTTGCGATCGTGATTTTTGAAAGCATTACAGCGCTTTGTAAACGTTTATTATTACCATTTGACAAGTCTCCTCATACAGTTTGATATAGTGCTTGGACCCAGAAACAATTAATAGTTTTCTTCTCCCTTGAAAGTGTAAACATTGAGCCTCCCTGGCACTATCAAAACGTTTGAGATTTAATTGGCAATCATTTTTATATCTCGACCAATAGCATGATTTTGGGGGCGTGGCTATAAATAGCAGGTGAGTCAGACTTTTGTTGTTACTTATACTGACTGACATTACATGAGGAATTTGCTTATAGAGCAAGTCAGCAAGGTAAATATTAAAAGACTACAAAATTTTCAGAGGCAGACTGTTGAATTAAGCTAAAACTAACAATGCTTTTACAAAAATGAGAAATTTAATGTAATGTTTGGGTTTCAAACAAAAAGTTTTCATTAACTTTTTATCAGTGGTGTGCTTCCGAAAACCATCATTAGCCAACTAAGGTTGCAAGTTGCATCGTTACAAACATAGTTCGCTGATTTGCCGTTTCCCCAAATCCGTCGTTTTAACGAACATTTACAAACTGCGTTGCAAACTTGTATGCTTGCAACTACACCTCTGGAGCTGTAGTTAGAAACATAGCTCCTGGCTGTGTTCTATTCCCATTTGCATGTGTCAAATTGTAAAAGTAGACTTTTCAAAAAATAAAAAATATCCTACCTAATAATAATCGTTACTATTATTATTAAAGGAGGATTTTTTTTTACATTTCCCTTATAAATAATAAATATAAAATTTCATTTCTTAATAAATAGCCTGATTATTAATTTATTTATATATGATATTAGAACATGTGTTAGCTTTTGTAAGTGATTTTATGTTTTAGAATAGAATATGGAATGTTCTCAATAATATTAATAAAGGAAACATAAGCCCTATACGTGTAATTTATATCTTTTTCAATTAATACTGAAAACGAGTGCATGTTTTAACCAAAACTAATGTTAAATTTTTTTTAAATGCTTGTGCGTGTAAAACAATACAATTTGCACAAAGAATTTATGGGGTTATTCTCTAAAGAAGTTATTACTCCACCCTGTTTAGAGCATCATTATAGGCATTTTACGTTATAACTAACGCGATTTTAATGATGGATAGGGATTCAGCGGGATTTAGTTTTTGGGCTGGAATTAGTCAGCTACTGCTCTGGCAACCAATGACTGTAAAAAATATGGACGATGCGACAGCCCCTTTACCCATTGAACGCCTTGAGGGCAAAACGCCTGCTTGACGGGCACAAACTGTCGCAAAAGACTGCTGAAATTGGAGCCTTGACATGCGCAGAAGGACTGTCTGATGGAGCCAGAGGAGGAGCCGCGAAAATGAGCGGAGTCGAGCTTCCAACCAAACGCTTTATGTAAAATCAACCAGGCCCCTGAACTTCTCAGCATGCTGAGATATGTGCTGTCATATCAACACAAACGGATGTAATAACGTTAACAAATATGTGGGTTTTATATATTCAATCGCGCCAGCTCCGGGCCGCAGCGCATAACCTACTCGTGGCGTCGCGGGCTGATTGCGGCTCGCATGCGGCAGCACCGGCTCGCTCGGCCGCCGCATCTGGCTCGATTGACTCGGGCTGGAATCGGGCAGTAAGTCCAGGCATCCGGAGTAGGTCCAGCAGAGGTAGTCAGTCTGAGCTCTGAGGGGTAAGTTTCCGGCAGGCGAGAATCTAGCCGGAACTGGCCCGAGTGTATTTTGCTATCTGGGTGGCTAGGCGTGTATCAGCAAACTAGTAAAGCCCGAAAAAAAGCCTCGACCTTAGCGAATAAACAGTGTTCCACCAGGATCATGTATGTCAGAAATTATAGTTTACTGCTGAACTTATTTTGTCAAGGTAAAATAACATAGAAATCGAATAATAACACTTCAGTCTCCTGCCGAAGCTCAGACGCGCTGCTTTGAGAAACTGTCAATCACAGCTGTCAATCACGATGACACGCCCAGCATTAAATTACTGCTGAAAACAAACTGTTTACAAAAATGAAGATCTGCACCTATTTCAGCACAATAACCAGTGCCTTAATCGACCAGAACCATCTTTCGGGACATTTTATTGCAAGTGTAATTATTTTTTTTATTTGGGCTCAAGTCTCCTTCATTAACACGGAGGAGGCGGGCTTTATGACTTGTACTGCAGCCAGCCCCCAGGGGGCGATCTAACGGCCGAGACCTTCACTCAAACGCAGGCTTGCGGCACACTTGCTGGCAACATAGTAGTCACTAACGTTACATCATTCATTTCCCAAACGATACATCGTACTATGATAGTTCAACCGAGAGTTACGTCGTTGTTTGGGAAACACATCCCAGGTAAGCACTGACTAAGCTAGCACGTTTTTTACCAAAAGCTAACTTTCACTGTATAGCCCTATGTAAAATAACTGTTAAAAGGGTAATAATAATCTTATTAAAGAACAGGGTTTATGGGAAGGGTCGTCTCTCGACTTCAAATGTTCTGAAAAATATATCTGCCTCATAGTTTACTCTGCTGTGTAGCACAGAAACCATACGATAACTTTAATAAGTCCTAGTATGTGATATTGCGAATGATTCATTTAATGGTCTTGTCACCTGTTTGGTTTGAGCCTGAACTCCCGCCGCCAGCTGTCCTGATGCTGGATCCATGCCCAGCTGTCCTGAGATGTACATTGTGCGGTCCACCAAAACAGCCTGGCTGAATGGGAAAGCAACATTATTTCAAGCGTGAGTTAAATATTTGCTTTCATTTTAGACAAATACGGGTTTGATATACTCAGAAAATGATGTGCTATTTCGCCCACTGCTGGTAGAAAAGGTACATTGCTGTTATAAACAGGTCACAGTTTTCCTTTCTTCATTTTGTAAACAAGATAGTATAAAAACTAATACTGTAAAGTTGTCACGATGTGTCACTAGTTCAGCTTAAGATATCAGTCCAAGACAAGACTAAGTTTAAGTTAATATGTATCTAACACAAAATCAAACAAGAACGTTAGATAATTATTAATGGCAGTTGTTTGCAACTGGAGAATTATCACTTTGACCATTACCACATATATTTCATGGCTGCACAATATATCGTTTCAGCATCAATATTGCAATGTGCACATTCGCAGTAATCACACCGCATAGATACCAACATTATGAAGCTGCAGGCCCGAAGACCCACCTGCATGCTTAGACCTGCAATTCCAGACCTATCATTTTCCCAGGCAGTGCCACCTGCTTACATGTTTTTTCTACTATAAAATATTACGCTATGATTAAATAAATTATTATATAAAATATTAACCATACTAGATTATGATTTAATGCATTAATTTTGTTGTGTTTTTATTAATTGTATTTGTACTAAGAAATTGTTTAGTTATTTTTTTATATTATTTTATAAAGATATGCAATGTCCATTCTGAATTATAGTTCAGACTGTATAGTTCACTATTACTTCCGGTGGCGCTGCACTGCTGGCGACACTGACACATGTTGCTGCTGACATCTATGTGTAATTACTTTTTAAATTTACTAGTATAAACATTTATAGTGGTAATTGTTTTTCTGTTTGTTTTTATAAAATGTCTGCAGCAATGTGGTGATTCCCATAACAAATTTCCTGTCAAAGACAATCAAGTTTTACTACTTTACTACTACTAAATTATAGTTCACGAGGAGCCAAATAATTGTATTTAATTTCATGAAGTTGATGCATGCAAAAACAAAAATTCTTACTTACATTTTTTTTGTCTTGTTTCTATTCCAAATATCAACATTTCAAAGCAAAAACTAAATTATTTCCCTTAATCCACTGGCAGATAATTTCCTTAAAACAAGCAAAAAATCTCATAATTTTTACTTATTTCTTCTGACTAGATTTTTACTCTCAGAATTTTTCGATATTTGGACTAGAAACAAGACAAAGCAAAGTAAGAAAAGCATTTTTTGCATACAAATTTTCTACCTGAATACTGTTAGGCTCTCCAGGAAACCATCAAATAGAGCGACTCAAACCATCTTCTAAAACTATATTCATTTCAAAATATTATTCGCAGAAAATTTTAATTTCGCAATATAAATTTTTTCCAATATTGTGCAGCCCTACTACATGTTTTTTATGTAGTGTAAATGTACTTTGCATTTCCTAATGGCTAAGCTGAATTTTCCTCATTTTGTCTTCACCGTAGTTTCATGTGATCCTTCAGCGTCTGTTTACTATACCAATTTAGTGCTCAAAAACCATGAAACATTAACAAAATGTTTAAAAGCTTAAAGTAATTCAAAATGAATAATACTACTCATTGACCAAATATGCATTTACCCTTTAATTACACCACCAAGAAAAAAAAAATGTTGGATGGCATTTCGTAACTCCTAATGTCGCTAGTTAACACACTCAATGCATTTTTTTTTTCCAACACATCCCATAATTTCTAATATATCAACCTCTACCATATGGTTGTTATGTCGGTTCATGGTAAAAGTACCGGAATTAATACATTACTATGAAAAATCTGAAAATATGAATTGTAAGATACAAATAAAACATTTTTGAATACTTAGTCAAATTTATACAAATTTAAAATATTTCCGATTCTCATTTACATGTCTTCTTGGTTTTATGTTTTTTTCAATAAAAACAAAATCATGTCTTGTAGTGCAACAGGATTATGTTTGTTTGATTTTTTGTAAACCAACAATGCTGTGTGTAAACCATTGTTTAAAACAGTAAAAACATGGTCAACCTTTGGTAAAGCGGCAGTCAAACTGATAAAAAAAAATTAAATATCTTATCTATAATGTTGCAAAAGTTGTTTTTTTCCACTCACACACACACACACACACACACACACACACACACACACACACACACACACACACACACACACACACACACACACACCAATCATTATTTTGTTGCAGAAATGAATTACTACAGCAAGTTTAAACATAACCAGAAGCCTCACCTTTGGTCAAGTCATTGAACCGGACACCTCCTCTTACTGACTATTGGTTAAACCACAAACACCCTCAAATGTGACATTCAAGCATTTTATTTACAAATAAACAATAATACAAATTAATCATTTTTGATTTTTAATACTGAGAAAATGCAAATAAAGGCAGCGTGAAGAATTTACAGTACAACATTCTTTATTAATTCTCTGTCAGCTTAGTCCCTTACTTATTAGGGGGTCGCCACAGCACAATGAACCAGCAATTATTCCAGAATATGTTTTACACAGCGGATGCCCTTTCAGCTGCAACCCAGTACTGGGAAACATCCATACACACACTTTTACACACACACATACACTACAGCCAATTTAGTTTATTCAACAACATCTTTTAAAACACACGTCTTAAATTTTACAATTTAAAATTTTAAAATTACTACAATTTTCTGAAATGCTACCTTTATTGTAGAAGAATCTTACCTGTATATGCCTGATATAGGCGTGTTAGGTGCATGTATGATTTTTTTAACAGAAGACATTTCGTCCAGACGATATGACAAGTTGCACCAAAAAACTGTGTGTCAGAGTGTCTGAGTGCGCTTTCTGAAGGACCGCCCCGCACAAATAACTGCTACTTTGGCTGACTGTTAATGCATAACTGCCGGAGCTTTGATAAAATCAGACTTCACCATATGCCGTAGCATGTCACGTGTGCGTTTATGGAGGAACATGAACAGATTCTCACCTGTAGGGCCCGATAGCGGCTGGAGCAGCTGCAGTGTGGATGATCTTCCTAATAATAGCAGACATATCTCAACACTCAGAACTTAACTAAAAACAGAGAAAAGCGAGTGTCAGTGAACCTCCAGCTGAGCAGATGAATGAGTGTAGCGCAGCAGGTTTGTAGGGATTCACTTCCAGTGTGTGTCAGCGATTATTTACCGTAACGACACACATAGAGACACTGCATATATAGAGAATTTCGCAGTGGTCACTCGAAAGTATACCTTGTAATGGTTTTTGGGAAAGGAATTGTAGACTTCATATAAGCAAACATGCGTCATTTTGTTTAGATATACTTTGCTAAAGTATGTTAAAAGTGTAATAGGTTATATGTAGTAGGGTGATTACGGTAATTCTTAAAAAACCACTTTGACATTTTCGACAATCCAGGCTGGTGAAAGGAGTGTTTTTTAATGTGGACCTTTTTGCAGTTATTAGCCTCATTTTCTATCAAATTATAAGGTTTGAATAGTTTCTAAGCACATTCTCTTGCTGGATTAGCTTGTCAGATCAACCACGATGTAGCCTACCAAAAACATTTCCTAAAGTAGAAGAAAAATATATGATAATAATACTTATTTTTCAGAAAACAAACTTATTACATCATACATGATTAGTAAAAAAGGATGCTATTTAAGTTTAAAATTAAAAAGTAGCCTATTGTCATTTATTAGGCAATCTGGCCAGCACATTCAACTTTCCTCAGTCACGTTGAAGCAACAGGCAGAGAATTCCGCTTGGTCTTAGCCTTATTTCCATGGTTATATTCACAATTTATTATGGCATAAAAGTCAAAATAAGTCAAATCAGCTCATGTATGGGACAAAATCTGGACCATTGTCAATGAGGGGTCACCCTTGAACCATTGTTTGTGGGTATATTGGAATGGCCTTGATTACTTTCTCTAAACGAGGAAGATTACATTTAGCACATACATCGCTTAAATGTAAAATTTTGCCACAATTATCCATCAAATGTGATACAATTCGTATAACGCATCAATAAATTGTGACAAGTTCATATTTGAAACAATTTTAACAGAATACGCCCATTATTTTGCTGATTTTATTTTTTACATTCATTCATTTATTTTCATTTTGCCTAAGTCCCTTTGTTAATCTGGGGTCGAATGAACCACCAACTTATCCAGCATATGATTTATGCTGCGAATGTAACCCCACCGGTCCTACTGCACTCAACCCACTCCGAGCTGGGATTGAACCAGCGACCTTCCACATGGGAGACAGGTGCTCTAACAAGGAGGCGAAAGACCATGGCCTCTAGCATAAGTCGCTAGAGCACCTTTAGAGGTAAGAGGACTAAGGTTTACCTGCACAGCACTTACTAGCAGGCCTCTGTTATAAGGATGCCCTTCCAGCTGCAACCCAGTACTGGGAAATTATTTTTTACATAGTTTTAGCAAGTAATAGTTAAAGAATTGTGTACATGTATGCATATATATATATATATATATATATATATATATATATATATGACTAATATTTAAATATACATATGATTTGAATGTAACAAAACAGTTTTGTACACTGTAATGACATCTGTCAATGTATTTTGTGTTTACTGTTTATTTGTGGTTGTGAATTGCATTATGGGACGTTGATCTCTGCGTTCTAGACTTTTGATGTTAAAAATTCAACTCTACAGTTTAAAGTGATATTTATTGACATTTTAGTAGCTTAAAATAATGTAGCATAATATATAAGACAAAAAAAATATAGAAATAAATCTGTTAAATATCAGAAAATGTACTGGCGGCTTATTACAAAGTTTTTATCGTAATATACAACCCCAAGCCAGATTATGTATCACTTTAACTATTAAAAGTGTTAATAAGTCACTTTTTCCAACTTTTCAAGGTTAAAGTTGTCAGAGGAAAGATCAAGGTCCCATGCAATTCAAAAGCATAGATAAATGGGAAAAATAAAAACATGAATCACAAAATACGGAACAACTGCCAATGTCTGGATTATTAATTAGTCTGTGTATCCCATATCCAAAATAAATATATAATACACACACACATTTTTGGATGTGATTGATCAGTGCCCCGCATCAAAAAACATTCTAAAACAGTGAAATTTGATTTTTCCAAGACAGGAAAACACTTAATCTCTCTGTTTTGGTGTTTCTCGGTATATTATAGCCAAAATGTATTGTTGTTAAATAAAAGTCTAAACACATGCTTAAGGGAGACAAGTAACAGACCTTTATTCAAACTATGCAGAGTGCAAAAATAACATACAATAAGAATAATGCACAATAAATTAGAGTGTTCAGTAAAAATGTGCCTATGTAAATGTCAGAGTATGAAATAAACTGATATAACACAACTGCAGGAAACGTAAGGCATTGGTAACATCCCTAACTATCTTACTAATACGCTTTTGTAAAAAAAAAAAAAAAAAAAAAAAAAAAAAAAAAAAAGAAAAGAAAAAAAAGAAAAAAAATTAACAGACTATACTTCAGAGACATCATCAGTCCATAATAAGAGTTCTTGTGAGACTTTTAAGGTCTATTTAAATCAACTCATCCTTCTCTTAAAAGAATCAGCAATGTTTGTAAGCCATTTACATTACTCGTATTGTTACATTACTACATCCTTGAGTTACCGTATTGCTTTTTGTAGGTATAGAGAGAGACTCAATAGGCCTAGTATTGATGGTACCATTACCATAATCGGAAATGCAAAATCACTGCATTGTTATTATGTAGAAAGAGAGACAGTTCAAAGCCAAGCAACCCCTGAGATAAAGCGAGAACTTAAAAATGGGGCACGGGAAAAGTAGTTCTCACTTCCTCACACAGATATGACCGTGAAGCAAACATAGGGAAGACGTCACACAGAAACATTCAGAAAGTGACATTCAGCATAAATAAGCCATGCATATTTACAAAGCCGTGGACTGATGTGTTCAAAGCTCACTTTGTGCCGAAGAGGGAAAGATTGCGATGGAATGGAAAGCATTTCTCCTTCTCTTAAACTTGATTCCAGTAAAGACGTTGTACATTCTCTACTGTAACATGGTCCCATATTATCCGAATACCACCTTATAGCTTGGCGATGCAAACTTCAAAAATGAGGGTTAACACGCGCTCTAAGGCATTCTCTATGTCTGATTGTCTTTGGTTTAGTAATCTATTCACACCTAAAAAAGTTCAACCAGCATTTCGTATGAATCCAGCCACAAAATCTTCACAGTTATTTTTCAACTTTGTCTGATTTACAGTAATAAGAAAGTATTACCCATTGATGCTAAAATGGCTGAATCGGAAATTAAAGAGCAACCGAATTGGCTAAACTTCATAATAATAACAGGGTGAGACTGATTAAGATTGTGAATGATTTTAACTTCAACTAATATTAAAGATCTTTGAGTAGGAAAAGTGATTTGAATGTGGGAGCTTCTTCAAACGTACAAACAGCAGGAATCTAGAGTAAGATGCAGATCAGTACAAAGATTAAACACATTAGATCTCTTCTAAGCTTCAGCAATAGTTAGAAGTTTTGCTGCCGGCGTTTCTTTGCATCCATGGCGTCTAGAATGGGTTGCCTCTTGGCTGTGTAGCGCTGTCGCAGCTCTTCGATCTCTCGCTCCATCATGGGATCCAGAGCAGTAAGACGCATTTGGAGCTCCTCGAAATCGAGGTTTTTCAGCTGCGTAGACAGAAACAAATGTCCTTTTAGAAAGCGAGTCATGAAAACAGATGTAATTAAGATTACTATTATGGCACTTACGAAATCGAAATCTCCATCTTGAGGCACTTTCCAGTTATCAGGGAAAGCAGTCTTGGAGATTAAACACGGGTCCTGCTGGTTGTGATTGAATCCTTCTTGTGCTTTGTTTGAGTCCTGCTTGTCAAAGTAGTCCATGAAAGATGGACGCTGGATTTGTTGAGACGTAGGATTTCCTGTTCAGAGGATAAAACATCAGATTAGTCTACTCTCAAAGTAGCACAAAAATGTGATGATCAAAACATTTCAACCTTCAGTGAATCACTTTAACAACAATATTTGTTAGCTAATGCATGCTAGGTTCAAACTACACAATATCAGCCTGATTTTTTTGGTGACACGATTGTAAATGACTGAATTTGCCGCCAACTAGCTCTGCAACTCTCACATGGTCGTAAACTGAAGCTAAGCAGGGCTGCGCCCGGTCAGTACCTGGATAGGAGACTACATGGGAAAGCTAGGTTGCTGCCGGAAGTAGTGTTTGTGAGGCCAGCAGGGGGCGCTCAATCTATGTGGGTCCTAATGCCCCAGTATATGAATGGAGACTTTATACTGCTCAGTGAGCACCATCTTTCGGATGAGATGTGAAACCGAGGTCCCGACTCTGTGGTCACTAAAAATCCCAGGATGTCCAGGATTTGCCCACAGGCATCTGTCCATCATGGCCTCCTAACCATCCCCATATCATAATTGCCTTCATCAGTCTGTCTCCTCTCCACCAATCAGCTGGTGTGTGGTGAGCGGTCTGGTGCCGTGTCATCCAGGAGGATGTCGCACACTGGTGGTGGATGAGGAGATTCTCCCCCAATGTGTAAAGCGCATTGAGTGTCCAGAAAAAGTGCTATATAAATGTAAGGAATTATTATTTTTATTATAATTATGAATAAAACAAGACTCAAAAAATCCTGTTTTATCTGGTATACCATGTCATTGGGGAAAACAACCAACATAGTCACTAATTCCACTTTCTTGATGACATCACACAACCTATTAAAGACAGCAAGAAATTACTGGTCAAAATGCAATAGCTGCGTTTCCACTCCTGGTGTGAAGCTTAAGGTATTTACTGTACTCTAACCTGACTTGACTTCTGCAATGGCATTTGGTAACATTAACAAATATTATACATGTAGGAAAAATATAGTGTTCACAATAGTTTACCGTTTACTCACCCTCAGGATGTTTCCAAAATGTATGAGTTTCTTTTTTCTGTTTTAGATATTTGGGAAGATATTTTGAAGCATCTTAGAAACATTCACTTCAGTTGACTTCTATTGAAAGTCAATGTCTTCCAGCTTCTCAGTAATCTACAATATATCTTTTATGTTCACAGAAAAAAGAAACTCAAACTATTTTGGAATAAGCAGAAGAAGAGTATATGATGACAGAGTTGTAAATTTTGGGTGTGCTGTCCCATATGAGTCATATTAAAACCTAAAATGGTTTGGGGAATATTGGAAGAATTATTATACATGACTTATCTGGGACATTCTTCGAGATGTTGACAGTCATATGTGTCCCACACTGCTAAAAAAACACTGTTAGGACACATATTTCACAAGAAAAAGTGAAAATTGGGTCATCGTTGTGTTTATAAATGTGCCACAACGAAGGTTTTGTATTCAATTCCTCGGTATGAGCCCACAGCTGGACTCACATGTGGATTACAGTGGTCTGCTAACACGCGACAAAAATAAATAAATGTCAATGCTGCTCTCAGAATGTAAACATGTAGTCCATACACACACGGCTTTCTGACACTATTCTTTGCACCTACCGAGTGCATCTAAGTTACCTAGAAATGCAGAGTTTTTTTCCCCCCTATATTTACATTGCATTAAAACTACACTCTTCCAGCAGTTCCACGCATCCAATAGCTTGTTTGTCACAGAAGCATGCATGAAATGTTCCTGAATGAAAGCGAAAGAGCCAAATTGCAGTTAAAGTAGACAAATTAATAATTTGGCAAATAATTTGATTATTGAAGTCTATGTATACATAGTCACTGTGTCTGTGTGTTGTTGTGCCTCTGTGAAAATAAACGCATGCTCAAACTGAAGCTCCCCTTTTCATGCAAACCTTTGCCTCTTTCGTTACTCAACACTCCCACCTAAACAAAGCTGGATTCACCCACTTTCCTGACTTTTTTTAAACTAGAGGTGTGAAAACACCCTGCTGAGACAGGGGTTTTTATGGCCTTTTAAATAAAAGAAACACGCTCTCTCATGACATCAACCAATAGCCAACCACAACCATCCATCCAATTAAACTCAACAGACAAACATCAAGCCCCATCCTACATTTTATCGAGACATACACTAGGTTCCAGTTGGAAGGGCTCATCCCTATGTCCTAATCTCTGTAGCATGTCCCTTTGAAGAGATTAGAGCATAGGGATGAGCCCCTCTGAATGGAGTGGAGTATGACACCAAACAACTACCTGGCGTTTTGGTTTGGAACAATAATTCAATATGGCGGCTTTGATTTTTGCACTCCTAAGTGCCCTTCAGAGGGCAATATACAGTGGTCCTACTTTATTCGTAGGAGTTACGTTCTAAGAATAACCCGCAATACACAATCCATGCATTAGTCAGCTTTAATATTTACAATTACTATAGATGCTTTAGGGCGGTAAAACCTCTTATTACACTTTATACACTTTTCTCAAAACAGGCATTAACATTTTCAAACTTTACTCTCATTTACACAGTCTTAAAGTTCAAACCTTCGTAGAAGATCTAGTATTATAGAATGAAACCAAAGATCAAAACCATTTGATCCTCATCTATCTATTCCATAATAATGCCCTACAGCTGCGTAACTTCTACCTTCCTTTAGCATGTCCAGAAGTTCAACTTTTTATGCGATGGTTAGAATCTTCCTCTGCCTTTTGGGTGCTACCACAGGTGCCTTTGACGGCGCAGAACATTTCGTCGACATTGTGGGGAGAAAACATGTAAACATACAGTTCAGCACTTCAGAATCCCACTGCTAGCGATCAAAGATTTATGTAAATTCGGCAAGCTGAACGCATTCTGAGCTGTACAGGAGACACGACACAAAGATTGATTGACAATGGTCTACAGCCAATCAGGACGCAGAACACAATGCACTAATCAGGACGCAGAACACAATGCACTGTAGAAAAAAAGCACGTCAAATTGCACGAAAAAAAAATTTCCGAAATTGCAGGAACACAAAAAGTGAACTGTATTATAGTGAGTGAGGGACCAGTGTATCCTGTTTTTGACATTTTCGCTTCTATATGATTTAAAAAAACTACAGAGTTCTCACTCTTTCATAAACAGCAGATTCAAGGACTTTAAAGTACCATTCATTTCAAATCAAGCACATTTCTTAATTCCCTCAGCATATGTAGCACCATGAAACTCCTGACTGTTTAAATCAGTCATCTTTAAAGGACTTTGATAAAATGTGTTGAATTCAATACTGGTAATTTTCAAATGTGGTTTGTGAAATATTGCTAAAATGTGCATTATTTGTCATAGTTCTTGTATAATATTGAAAATTAAGATTTTTAAATTAAGAATTTATCATACAATTTAGAATATCATATAATATAATATCATATAACAACATATCACATAAATTAGTTTTGTTTTTGACAGCAGCACAGTACAATTGCTGAAATATCATAAGCTAATTTTATTTCAAATTTCATATAAGCACATTTAATGACCTATCTTTGTTTTTAAGAACTATGTATGTAAAAAAAAATAATTATTTTCAAGTACTTTTAAGAAGTGTGGGAACCCTGATACTATCACTTCTTTGTCTTAAGCGTTATGCTAAAAATTTTATCAAAAAGAAAAAGGCATAAGCGCTCACTTCTCATTGAGCCAAGATCTTCCTCTTCTTCCTCATCATCGCTGTTGATAACCATAGTGCCCAGGTTAGACTCCAGCATGGTGCTGCCATGTTCAATCATAGTCTGAGCCCCGTCACTCATGGTTCCCGTGGCTCTCATAGTGCCAGCACTCTCGGAACCAGACTTCACCATCGTGTGGGAATCAACTTCCACTTCCTCCTCCTGTAGAAGCCAGTCACATTCAATATTAGCTGAAACACAAATGCTTTGCTCATCGTAAACCAAAGTAATATGCAATGTCAGTGAATTCTCTCACCGAGTTCTCATCATCCTCCTCCAGCTCTCTCTGCTGCTCCTGCTGTCTCTTGGCCTTCATATCCATCGCCTCTGTGATCAGGTCACGCAGGATAGACACCGGCTTAGCACCGACTATAAACGGATGCTGCAGGAGACAAAATGTGAAGTGTAGGAATTTTTTACAATCATGGTTAGTTTTGTTTATTTATTTATTGTGACATCAACAAGCTATCACTACTTAATGGCAAGATAAATACAGATTAGGGCTGCACGAAATTAGAAAAATGTAACATTGCGATATTTTGCATTCTGCAATATGGATTGTGATATGAATACAATTACACCAGGGGCCTTATGTTTGAAGACTTGCGTTAAATTCATACTAAAATATTGCGTATGCACAAAGCTGTAAATGTGCATACGCAGTAAAAATTCTGATGAATGAAACACTGTGTATGCCGAATCACACGCATATTCTCTTTGTACATCAGAATAAACGTGAAACGGAGCGCAATATGCACGAGCGCAAAAACCTCCCTGCCTCCTCCTCCGTATGAATATGCTAATGACTCTACTTTGACAAAACCAAATGAAGAAGCAATGGCAAAAGCAAGCAAAAAGAAAAACTATGAACAGAATGTGAATTGGTGGTGCGCCTATCGGAGGCAGACTGGAGAAAATCTGTGTTTTTTGCAAGTTGGTCCTCCGAAATTAATAAAAAGGGAAAAAAAAGAATGGGAGGGTTTAGCTGACACGGTAACGCAGCGGTGTCTCATTGGACACCTTGGAATGAGCTAAAAGAGTGATAGTTGAGCAGACTTCAGCAGTGCGAGTGACGTAGCTCATAAAGCGCATGGCAACATGTTTTGACACTATCATTCCTGAACCAGGTTCAAACCCAGTGTCTGATCAACTTATTTTTCTTTTTTTACCCATTACATATCAGATTTTGCCTACTCTTCATCACAAGGAAGTAGGAATCATTCATAAGTGTGTGTATTACGTTAAGCGCATTTGAGCATCACATATTATTTGCACATTTATTGAATGGAAATGTTTCTGATTCAGGTATGCAAATTTGTCTTCAGATGGCGCCTTTATAGCAATGTGCGTGCAGTAGATCGATCTGATTACATTGGGAAAACCGGTGATCGCTGCAAGTTGTGCTATAATGTTTGGCTGGTCAACTGTATGGTATGGTATGGAAACCTTATATACCTGCTAGACATGCGGATGATCCCGTCTCATACAGCTGCTATTGCACAGCTCAAAGGTGCTTTGTGGTGTGCAATTTAACATAATTGCCTCTCAGAGTCGCCAATGGAAATAAAACAAACACACACAAGAAATGCACGTACGCCAGGCATGAAAATAGCGTGGACCAACGCACATTCTCACGTTCATTTCATCTTTAGCAAATTTAGCAAACTTGAGCGTGAAACCTGGCGTACGCAAAGTTTTTGTGCATACGCAGAATTGATACATGAGGCCCCAGATGACTTGAATACCTCTTTGGAAAGAATTTATCATTTTGGATTGATTGGGATGATGCAGTAGGGCAGTGCATCTGTAAGTAATCTCCAAGCATAGATAAACGCAATAAAATACTGCATAGTCTTTGTTTTATAAATAATCCAAAAAAATGAATTGTTATTAAAGTTACAAATAGTGCAATTTCTTCGGCCTGAATACATTTGATATCCTCATCCAAAGCCTCAAAAACACATGCAAATGATAAATTATAATCCAAACTCAATGTTGCAGCTCCTGCGATGTGACAACTCCAAATGAGCACATTATGATATCAATGCTGAGACAATATATTGTTCAGCCCTAATAGAGATAAACATATATTACATATACATATATTACATTTATACATATATACATATATTAACTTCATAACTCACACATAAATTAATTCTACAATAAAAAGCTTTTCATTCATCATAGCACACGTGCTGCTGATGATGTGACAATAAAAGTGATTTGAAAACATTATATATGATTTTTCAATTTAATATATGATAAATAACAAAATTCTTCTTGGGGATACTTTTTTTTAAAAAAACATCCAAGTATCATGGTTTGATGGAAAGCATCCTCTCAAATAATAAATGAGTATCTGCACGAGTCACAAATAGGAACTATTGGTTGGTAATACTGCGGAGAATATAAAAATTGAACCTGTCACCATTTTTCTCAGAAAACATATTTCTAAAGGTGCCGTTGACTTCCCTAAATGTTTATAACAACTAAAGAAATACATATATGCAAAAAAAACATCTAATTAGTTTCAAATTTAGTTATGCAAAATAAAATTAAATGACGCAGGGAAAAAGTATTGAACACATGAAGAAAGGAAGGTGTAGAAAGGCAGTGAAAGCCCAGACAGCAGCTTAAATCTCAGTAGTTTTTCAGCAACCCTCTGCCCTTCCTCATTGTAAATTAATATTAGCTGCTTCAGTCCAACATTTACATTACCAGGATGATGAAGATAAAACCAAGGTGGACATTTCAGCAAGACAATGATCTAAAACACAGCCAAGGAAACCTTCAAATGCTTTCAGAGAAAGAAAATCTAGCTGTAGAATGGCCCAGCCAATCACCTGACTTGAATCCAATAGAAACCATCAAGATTTCTACACTCTGTTGAAAAAACTCACACCTGAGCAATTCATGCGACTTCAGTCTCCAAATGAGAGGCATCGCCAAAAAAGCCTTTTATACAAAGTGTGAAATACGTTTCAGTATTTCAGTACTTTCTCATTGTGTCATTTTATTGTAATTATACAACTAATTTTTCAGATTTTTTGTTTTTGTTTGTATTGTTTGGGTTTTTACCAAAATCTGGTTCAATTCCATGTCAATAGTTCCTTAGAAATATTATTCCCAGGAAAAAAACAGGACGTGTTTGATGCTTATTTCCCCGCTGTATGTGGTTCTTAGTTCTCATACCTGCAGCAGTTGAGTTGCCGTTGCTCTCTGTTCTGGGTTTTTCACCAGACATTTCTTCACAAAATCTGTGAAATCGTCACTCCAATGTTCTGGCTTGCGGAACGTGGGTGGAGGGTTTGTGGGAATCATAAAAATAGCCTAATGACAGAAAAAACAGATATAGTCACCATCATCCAGCATTTACTCAATGTTTTTAAGTCATAGACTCCTCTCAGTGTTCTCCACTCACTCTCATTGGATGTATGTCTGCATACGGAGGCTTTCCTTCAGCCATTTCTATGGATGTGATGCCGAGAGACCAGATATCTGCCACACAGTTGTACCCAATTTCTTGGATTACTTCGGGCGCCATCCAGAAGGGTGTTCCTATAACTGTGTTCCTCTTGGCCATTGTGTCCTTGTGTGGTTAATATAAACAAACAGGATTACAATGATTCATGAGACATATACAGAATTGGCTTGGAGACATTAAATAAATGACTGTCGATGAGAGAAAAAGTTTTGAGTTCCATCATGTAAGAGTCTGAGATACAGAATACAGAGATTTCTGAGATACAAAAAAAAAAAAAACACTGATGGAAAACTCCCATATTTCATTGGTTTACAAAAAAAAGTAACTGTGAAAGATGTAAAATAGTATATGTAACTGTAAAACTTTACCTTGAGAAAGTTTTTTTGATTTCAATAGCAAGCTTTTAGCTGAATTAAATTTATCCAATAAAATAAAAAAGAAAACAGAAAATATTCTTATGAACGCTTATGATTAAATGAATTTTATTAGCTCAGTAAACAATATATATAGTACTATGTTTTTTAGGAAAAAAAGTAAAATGATGTTTTAATGGATGTTCTGAACAAGCATTATCAAATGTTTTTTCTTCAAATAGATTTTTATTGAACGTTTTAGTGCAGTTTGACAAAGCTAAAATACAGAATTTAACCCAAAACTATAATTCACACATTTCCATGCATGTTAAATGATATTATATGAATGTTAAATTTCGGGATTCACCGATAAGGGTTTTTGGTGATATCGATAACCAATAACTAAAGATCTGGAGGCCGATAACCGATATATTAGCCGATAAATATAAATATCTCAAAATGTTATATTTTATACAGTGAACAACTGATTTCATTTTTTTTTTAAACTTTGTAAAAGTTTGAACTGATCTTAAGGCCGGCTTTCACTGTGCGATTGTTTTTTTATAATCCTAAATGATTGTAGCATGTCAGACTGCTCGAACATGGCTCCCATGCCACACTGTAAGATCTCAGCTGTCATAAAGTCAGACTGAACGACAATGAAAATGCACCAAACATGAAAGAAAATGCCCCCGGAGTTTGACGTCATCCACCCGTGACACTTTCACTATCCCACTATCCCCGCAATCTGTAGCTGCAATTTTGCACACGGCGTGTCTCAATAATAAAACCAGAATGAAAAAGACTCTTTGACATTTTCACATGGTCATTTGAATTGTTGCATAGATTGTGACATCAAATTCTGAGGTCCTATTGGTTCTCAGATTGCAGCTGTTGTCACAAAAAAAATCTGATCGCAACGGGCTTTAAGCATCTGTCACTGAACATGTCAAACCAACGATCAAAGATCACGAATTTCAAGAATCTTTTAGGATTTCCCATCGTCTCAGATGACAAAATTGTGGCTGAAATCTTAGTGTGAGCAGGGCTTTATGAACTGAATAGTCTATACTCAAAACAAAAAAGCAATAATTTCAAAATTGTAAGGTGATTATATAGACCAGGGATGTCCAAACTTGGTCCTGGAGAGCCGGTGTCCAGCTAAGTTTAGCTTAACTTGCTAAAACACACCTGCCAGGAAGTTTCTAGTATATCTAGTAAGAGCTTGATTAGCTGGTTCAGGTGTGTTTGATTTGGGTTGGAGCTAAACCCTAAAGGACACCAGCCCTCTAGGACCGAGTGTGGACAACCCTACTATAGGCCTAAATTTATGATTTCACATAAATAAGCATTCCAAAACTTAATGGTTTCCCTTTCATTGCTTAGAAAATTAACATCCAACTAGACCGTTGCATAAAAACAATAGGTTAAATAACAAAATCAAACCGAATACAATCTTACATCAACAACGAATGGCAAGCAACGCGTTGATAATAACAAATAATCATATTAGATTACAAACAACCCAACGAGTTGCTTAGCATGTGTGCATCGCTGCTATTATATTTACACATTTAATACTTTGCCTGAGGCGATTTAAACCAAAATACACAATGATACTCTATCAAACATATCTGATAAGGGATATGGTTACTTACAGAGTTATTTGCGCACAGCAATACCACACAAAGAAAGGATGGATGAATAAACAATGTGAGATAAGCTACGTTATAGTGCACTGGACACGTCTGAACAAGGTCGACCAACGCATGCGCAAGGCAGGCAGGTCTGTACAATTACGTAATCTGTCGGCTTTAAGATATTGGCCTAATTTTGATTTCGGACCAATAACAAAATAAAATTTATCAGCAATAAAGATATGGCCGCCGATATATTGTGCATCCCTAGTTAAATTACTTATATCAATGTATTTATTATAATATTATTTATTTTTTAACAAATAAAACCACATCAATCTATGCAATCTAGCAGGTAGGTTGAAAAACTCACGGTAAGTTGTCCAGCTACTCCGAAATCAGCTAGTTTAGCATGACCTTCAGTGTTGAGGAGAATATTCCCGGCTTTGATGTCCCTGTGGATTTTCCTCATAAAATGGAGATATTCCAGACCTTTCAGTGTGGATTTGAGGACCGTGGCAATCTCATCCTCAGTAAGCTAGTCAAGCAAATAAAAGTCTCTGTTATGAAGCTCTATTGATACATCAATATCTCTTAGATATAATAATCTAACTTAAATTACACTGATGATGCTATATAGTGCATTCATAGTATTTTTATTCACCGTTTTGTTGCGCAGTCTAATAATATCAGACACAGATCCAGCACCACAGTACTCCATCACAATCCACAGATCTGTGTTTTTGAAATAGCTGCCATAGTACTTCACCACATATGGGCTGTTAAAACACAATGAGGAATGAAAATGTTGTTACGTTCTTCACACACATCCAAATTTACATTAATAATAAATATATAAACTAAGTATGTTGTTTTACCTGTCACATTGCTGCATTATGGAGATCTCCTTGATGATCTCTTGCAGGTCTGATTCGACAGGAACCTGTTTAATGGCCACAACTTGGCCTGATTCCTTGTGAATGGCTTTAAAAACACTTCCATATGATCTGAAGCAAAGTGCATTTGAAATGTAGAAGTGTCAAACAAAACATAAGCATTCATATTCACTACCTATGTTGACAAATATTATGCTACCCACCCTTCTCCAAGCTTTTCAAGAACATCAAATACTTCCTCTGGCTGCTTGGTAAGACTGTCTTCACTGAGTTTCTTCAGCTTACTGTTGATCAAAACAGTCGAAACGTTACTTTATTAAATGCATAAAACATCATTGGATCCCACACTAGCAGTTATAACGTAAAACTAGAATCTACAATATAACAAAACTGCATGAAGTCAGACTGCGTTGAAGTATTGATCATGTAGTTATAAATACGAACATCTAAATATAAACCAAACGATCTTTTATAGTTCGGTCGGCGATCTGAAGTGTCAGTTTCGTTGCTCAGATGAGGCCTGTAAATATTAGCTTAGCTGTTAACTGGTTAGCCGAGATAGTGACTTACTTTTTGGGCACCGAATGCTCCATTCTTGTTATTCAGATAAAAATATAATTTGCGTAAAAATGTAAAAGTTGTTTGCTCAAACCCTAAGGGAAAAAGCAATAACGCATGTTTTGTTTGGAGTTTAAGGAAGCACTGCTATGTCTTTCCGTGCCGCTGCTAACAACGATGTGAAGCCAGCTGACGTGTGTAATTTTCCATGAAAAACGACTCGTCAAAGTAAAAGTCCTACAAACGTAATATTTTACAGTATGAGATACTACAATTTTCACTCGTTTGACGACGAGCTTGCAAGTTGCGTGTATCTTTGAACGGAGTTTGTTTGTTTTGTTTATTTTAAGAACTATAAAAAATACGAACAAACTATCTGAGAAATACTTGCATACATTCTCTCAGTTTTATCCTCTTAATATTATCTTCTTTTTTTATTGACAAGCAGACATCGGCCTGTATAAGATTCTGACGGTATGATAACCTTGGATGAAAATATTATGGTTACACGGTACCACTGCTCTAAAATATATTCTTTTTAAAGAGCCCATATTATGGGTTTTTGAAAATTCCCCTCCATGTATTGTGTAACACAGCTCTAAGTGAAGTGAAGTATCCAGCTAAGGCTTAAATCTGTTAGTGTACAGTGTTTAAAACGGTTGATTCATCTATAAAAGAGTCGACTCATAGTGCTTCAAACGAGTCGCCTTGATACCGATTCATTAGGTGTTTCGCCATGACGTACGAACGAAACCAAGTTATTCACGTGCACGCGCAAACCCGGGAGATTTCAAACCTGAGGCCCCGCCCTCTGACGCAGAAACCCAGACACACACACAAACACACACCCACAAACACACACACACACAAACATGCCGGTCGATTGAAGTCACACTGCAGATGGATATATTGAGTCTCTACCCAAACATAAAACCTCAGCATTATAACCAAGCAGTTGGAAACTACTGGAAACTTCTGGAAGCTACATGCTACAAAGAATACTTCATCAGCGTTTGTTAAAGGAAGGATCAGTAAAGAGTGACTTATTGATGGACGTCAGGATTTTTCTTCCTCCATTTCTCAAGTGTAAGTACGTGCGATTAAAGTTGCCTCGTTGACTCTAGCTTGCAAATGTATTTAGTTGTGATTTGTTACTTGTAACCGCGTGTACTGTATCAGGTTAACTGGCTATATTCTCTTATCGCGTGCAAAGTCACGTTAAAAACGCGACGCGTGCTGCGTTAACGGAGCTCCGTGGACGAGGAGTAGTGTGTGTGTCTGTGTGTGCGTGTGCTGTCGTCCGGAGGTGTGTGTGTGTGTTTGTGTGTGTGTGTGTGCGTGTGTGTGCGCGCGCGTTGTCGTTCGGAGCAGGGTTAAGTGCGTGTGTGTGTTTGTGCAATATGTGTGTGTGTGTGTGTCTGTGAAAAGAGCAGAGTGAGAAGCTAGGAGATCTCCTCAACTGCTTTTGGAGTTTTTGCTCAATAAAATAGTCAGTCGTTTGTATTTTCAAGTCCATAGTCTGTATTTACATTGACCCACTGGCAGCTAAACTCCACGCCTACACCATCGAGCGTGTATGAACTGTGATTACTTTTATATTGCTGATTAGCTGTTGTGCATTTTACTCTCTGACTGAAGGCAGTCGACCAATCGCGACAGACTGTCATTGGTCCAATCAGCGCAGATTAGCTTCGCGCTAAGGAGGGGTTTGGGAACAAATGAATCACTGGACGATTCATACAGGAGTCGCTGGGATAATTAGGTAAAAATAAATGCAGATTATAAGACCATGAAAGTGTTTTTTGACCTTGCATGCATATTAAACTGTTGTTGGAGACCCTTACAACCAAGATATGACCCTATTTCATGTATAATATGGGCTCTTTAAATGTCTGGGTAAAGGACAAAAACTTTTTTCCCTTTTGAACACAAAGTATTTTATTGTGAGTAACATTTAAAATATTTTGGAAAAGTAATCATTGGCTTCTGCTGTCTTCATTTGTTTAAAAAAAACTGATTTATTAAACATTTAAATGGCAAATATTCTGCATTGAGATATGTTGTTTAAAAAAAAAGTTAATAAAAAGTCTTACACATCCCTTAGGAACGGTTTTACAGAAAATTTAGCTGGTTTTAAAACCTGACTTTTCCAAACCGGGGTATACTTCGAAAACGGTTTTCGTCACATGTCTATCGACAAGTATAAACAACATAACACTAGGCATGGGGTGATAACTAAATTTGGAAAAGTCAAGGTTTTAAAACCACCAAAATTTCCTGTTACACCATTTCTAAGGTATATGTAAGACTTAAAAAAATGTTTGTTTTTTTCATGTTTTTGACAACTATTTTAAGAAAAAATTTTAGGGCAACGATATCTTCAGCAGAAAATGAACTTTTACAGCAAAAGCTAGTGGTCCAAAATACTTTAAATATTTCTCAAAATAAAATATATTGTGTTCAATGAGGGAAAAAGTTGTTTTTTACCCATACATTTATAACAAGAACTTATTTTGGAGCAGTAATCACAATACCGTGATACCGGGAAACCGAGAAACCATGGTGTTTTTTTATCCAAGGTTATCATACCGTCAGAATCTTATACCAGCCCATGTCTACAACACACTTACACTGAGTCTCTTCATTCAATTCATCTTTAAATATATAGAGCTTTTTGAAATGTAGATTGTGCCAAAACAGCGTAACATAAATAAGGGAAAGAGAATAAAAAGGCAATGTTTCAGACTGTAGAACATTCCAGCATATCAACAGACAGGTGAGTACTGAATGTGTAGTTCCAGTTAAATTAAAACTGATTCAGCTCAGTTATTAACACAAATGTCAGAAGGCGTGGACAGTTACAGAACTCCACCAACTGATGGAAATGCAGAACAAACTTTTGGATAAATCAGGCTTAGCCGAGGTGATTAGTTTTCCTCTGACCAAATGTAAAAGGGCAAAGCTGCAGTCTATGCGCATCTATTGTGGAGAGGGTGCAGGTCAATGTTCAGGTGTTCATACTAGCCGACGGGATCAATGCAGAGATTCGTCTGCCACTGGAAGAACCTTGCACTCTTGACTCATCAATGACCACAACAACCATCTGCTCCAAATACAGCCTGGATCCATGATTATGTGAACCTTGGGATAAGAAGAAACAGACAGACATGAGCATGAATATGTCTTTTAGGGAAGTATTTCCAGCGCCACTTGGCCTAATGAATGCAGCCTAACAATCCTTTTAGAAGATTAGGATTTTAAATGAATGCCTTCATATTTTCTAGTGCAAAGAGTCTTAGTAGTCTAGATTTAAACGGAAAGGATTATGCACAAAACATACTGTATTCATTTGAGCACAGATGATGCAGTTCTTGCATCAGCCAGCAGAGGGAGGACAGTGTGGATAATATTGTGTCCCTCGTGGCCCCAGGCTGTTGTCAGGACTGCAAGAAACCAGCCAATCTCTGGCAAGGTCCTGCATGGGGTCGAAGCGCTGCCTAGCAACTGATTATTGGGTTATGGGCTCTTTCACCCCATTATATCGGCATCAGGGGGACAGTGAGGAGAAACAACGGTTGAGTTTGTGTTTTTATCTATCTGTCCATTCATCCATCCATCCGTCCGTTCGACTGTGCCTGTCTATCTATCTATCTATCTATCTATCTATCTATCTATCTATCTATCTATCTATCTATCTATCTATCTATCTATCTATCTATCTATCTATCTATCTGGGCTGCTTTCTACAGGACAAACTGTATGTGGACTGGGAAGGACAGCTGTCAGGGAAACCCATTACTCATTGGCTGATCCTATCAGAATATGTAATATTGCGTTCTGTTGACTGAGAGCACATGCGGATTTCCGATAGCATGATACAGAGGAAAGGGGAGGAGGACAGTATGTGCATGAGCGAGGGATAAATGTGGAGGGAAAGAGAGTGAGAGAGAGAGAAGGGGTTAGATATCATCCGCGTCACAGCAGCAGATTGCAGGCAGAGCAGAGAGGATATAGACAACCAGAGCACTCAGTCATTAGACGCTGAAGCAGGAATACGGCATTGGGGAAATACACCGAGTGTGTGTGCATGAGAGCAGAGCTAACAGTACAGCGTGAAGCAGCTCTGGATCACAGTGTGCCATTGATGATAAGAGTAGGGAAGAATGAGTCTTGACCCTGTTCAGGTCATGAAGGGGCAAGAGCCTATGCCCAACACTTGCCCATCGGCCTCAAACGGGGATACCAAAGCATCCTGGGAGGACAGCAACAAGGATATGCTTGAAAATGTTGGTTCCAAGAAGCCCAAATCAGTAAGTGATGTTCTCCATCAGTTTGCATTTCATCTGTGATGCCATTTTCCTATTGCCCTTGTCCTTTTTATTGGCAATTTCAGACCTTTGATGGTGTGATTTGCTTATACAGTAGTCCACGTGTATGTGTGTGTTGATTCACTTTTCCCACTCTGACACCTGGATTTTGTCAAAGCGTGGTGTAATTATGTGAAATATGATTATAAGTAGCTGTTGGCTTTCATGTTGTGATGCCTGGTTGTGGTGTCAATGTTTATAAGCCAGAAACAGAGCAGGTTTCATGGAAAAGGAGGGGCTGATGGCATTATTAGGTAACAGTCCTAATGTAAGGAGATAATGCCATCTGAGGTGCAGCAGGTGCAGATCAATTTAAGTCGTCCACTGCTTATTTTGACTTCTACTAACACCGCCATAAAGATATGGAAATACCATCTGTAATATGCAGTGGGTTATCAAAGTAATGACACTGCTTCCAAAGAGGTTTTACCACAGATTTTAGTGCATTAGAAAACTTTTACATGCACTTTGACAGGCTCCTTTAGCGTGTGCAACAGGCAGCTGGTCAACACCATGTGTATAATTCCTCTCTCTGCGGTAGCCTCTATACTTACTCTAAGCGTCACTGGCCTTTTCCAGATCTATTAATAACCCGCAATGCCGTTCTCCTCTTTGTTATCCTCTGGTATTCTCCCATTTCCAACACTTGCACTGCTTGCCCCAGACTGACCCAGCAGTAAATCATGGCTGTGGTTCGCTGCAGCGTGTAGTTAGTGGGTATATAAAGTCATCACCCAAAAATTGTCACTTTCACCTGTGACCTACACTAAAATTCTAATGTGTCAGTATGTTAAAATATTACGCTGTTAACAATCTACAGTAATTTACTGGCAGCAGTTCGCTATAACTTACTGTGAATCAATTACAGCAAAAATACTGTACATTTACAACACTATTTATCTTGCTGTATATGCATTTACAGTATCGCACTCTATATGTTTACTGACAACTAATTTCCCAATTATTTAACATAAATGATGTTTCTTGAGGAATAAATCAAGATTTTAAAATGATTTCTGAAGGATCATGTGACACTGATGCTGGAGTAATGATGTAGAATATTCAATTTCACCTTCACAAGAATAAATGAAAATATATTATAAATGGTTAAATTTTCAACTTTGCATCTACACTACCTGACATTAGTCTTGTTGCCTATCCTGGTTTTAGGAACAAATAATAATAACATGACTTTTAGTTGATAATTTTATATCAGAAGTGGCTTATATGAAAGACAAATGCTTCTAGATTACACTTATTTTACTAAAATAAAACATGATCATGCCTTGATTTTTAAATATTTAATTCGGACAGTAAGGTCTGACTTTGTCTGGACAAAGGTCTTGTCACTTAACAGAAATAATGTCCAGTATAGATTATAAAGTCATGGTGCAGTGGAAAAATAATTAATATTATGCATGACTCCCATGAGCTTGGAGGACTGCATCCATACATCTCTGCAATGACTCAAATAACTTATTAATAAAGTCACCTGGAATGCCAAAGTAAGCCTTCTTGCAGGACTCCCAGATTTCATCAAGATTCTTTGGATTCATCTTCAATGCCTCCTTCTTCATCTTACCCCAGACATGCTCATTAATGTTCATGTGACTGGGCTGGCCAATCCTGGAGCACCTTAACCTTGTTTGCTTTCAGGAACTTTGATTTGAAGGCTGAAGTATGAGGAGTGCTATCCTGCTGAAGAATTTGCCCTCTCCTGTAGTTTGTTATGTAATGGGCAGCACAAATGTCTTGATACCTCAGGGTGTTAATGTTGCCATCCATCTCTCGCACACCCCGGTTATTTCTGTGAGAATCTTGGGTCTATGTTGGTTCCAATAGGTCTTCTGCAGTATGTGTGATGATTGGGATGCAGTTCAACAGATGATTCATCAGAAAAATCTACCTTCTTACTAGTCAAAAATACTAGTCAAGTTAGTATTTGTTGCTCTTACTACTGGGATTAATGACAAGACTTCAGTCAGGTAGTGTATACTTTCCTTCAACATCAAAGCCAGGACCAAAATCTATCCATCATCAAAATCTCTACAATGATTGTAGATGTTCTATCAGTGATATCCAAAGTCACAAATTAATTAAACAATTTATTTTCCTCTCATTTTAGGAGATATAAGGCAATAACACAACAGAGGAATGGTGCCTTTCTATATCCACTACTTACAGAAATTGGGGAACAATGTACAAGGGGGCAATCAACATCATAAGTAAAGGCTGCATTGTAAATGAGTGCAAAGTTTTTTTGTTTCCACTTAATTGGCGAAAAGGGAAAGAAAGCAGTTTGTTAGTTTATTTAGTAGGAGATTGTTTTCTAAGGAGAACTGATACGGGCTATGCTCAGTCTTGAATCTCTGTGGTCTGTAACTGTATCTGTGCCAGTATAATTAAACGTCTCTATATCAAGAGTTTGAACCATGAATAACATCACATACTACTGACCAAGCATTTGGGGAGCTTTTTCAAGCACACAGTTTATATAACACACGGACAGCTAAAACCTTCTATATAAACTTATTACAAAGTGCAAAAAATCACATCTTAAATCTTAGTGTAACAGGCCAATGTTCACACCTGGTATTAAGATGCAGTTTGGTTGATTTGATTTTGATCATAAGTATTTACGAGGACAAGAAATATTTATTTACACATGGTGTTTCTTTTTTTGTCACCTTGTCAAATTTTTACCATTTTCTTATAGCAAATCAAACAAAACATTTAAAAAATTTTCATATTTCATATTATTGATAGTATATTGTTAAACATGCATATTTAATTTATTTTTTGGCAGATTTTTAGACTATAAACATGCCTGATTATTGTTCTTATTAGCAAAATTGTGTTTACAGTATTGTATTCTAACACTCTTCATCTTTAAATTAGAGATACACAGAATCTAAGCTTTTTAAAATTGTACTTATTTTCTAAGGTTATTTAAAAGTTTTTCAGTTTTTTATATCTTAGATTAAAATTTTTTTAAATACATATTTTGAGGGGTTTTCACCTTTAATCGATGGGACAATAGAAAGTATACGCAGGAAAGGGTGGGTCGCCGTGAGCACCAGAGTGCCATGTGTCAATATACTAACTAGATGCCATTGGCGCTGACATCTTAGATTGTTTTAATTGGCTATGTGTATTTTGTATTTTTGTAAACATATTAAATAATAATAACAATTATTACTACTACTACTACTATACTCAAAAAGTAATTTGTTGAATAAACATGATTTAATCGTAGCACCCATTGTGCATCTAAACAAATTAAGTAAACTGTAAATGTGTAAATTAAGCATGGCTTTAAAAGGGTCTGTGTAACTTCTTTGCAGCTAATTTGATTATAATATTTATGTTGTGCTTATCTGATTGAATTGATTCTTATTTATTCAATGTCAGCAAAGCACTTTAACTCAACATTTTTGATTGATATTGATATTGTTTACATTTTTTGATATTGTATTTAATAAAATACCAATTACAAAAAAAAAAAAAATTACTAAGCATCTATGATTGTTCCACTCCGAGCTTACTTGCTCTAGCACCCCATTTAAAGGAACAGTGTCAACCACTGGCTAGGAGAACTTCTGTCCAGCTACAAATATGCATCTTCTTCATTTAATTACACCTTGCTCATGCACCAGTGGTCATGCCCCAGCAGCTTGTTTGAAGGGGTTAGTGCAAAAATTAAATCGTCAACATGCAAAAGGAACTCCAAGTGCATTTATGTTTTATGTCTTTAAGTTACTTGTACCAAAAATAAGTTGTCCATATACAGTTAAAGTCAGAATTATCCCCCTTTGAATTTTTTTCTTTTTTAAATATTTCCCAAATGATGTTTAACAGAGAAAAGAAATTTTCACAGTATGTCTGATAATATTTTTTCTTCTGGAGAAGGTCTTATTTGTTTTATTGTGGCTAGGACTAAAAGCAGTTTTTAATAAAAAAAAAACATTTTACTTTTAATATTATTAGCCCCTTTAAGCTATTTTTTTGACAGTCTACAGAACAAACCATCGTTATACAATAACTTGCATAATTACCCTAAACTGCCAAGTTAATCTAATTAAGCCTTTAAATGTCACTTTAAGCTGTATAAAAGAGTCTTGAAAAAATATCTAGTCCAAAATATTTTAATAAAATAAATAAATCAGTTATTAGAAATGAGTTATTAAAACTATTATGTTTAGAAATGTGCTGAAAAAAACCCTGCTCTCTATTAAACAGAAATTGTGGAAAAAATAAACAGGGGGGCTAATAATTCAGGCTGTTTAATAATTCTGACTTCAACTGTGTATGTGGAATATCACAACTGCAGAAATTTAAACTTTAGTCTGTTAAGCTAAGCATGTGCAGTGACTTCTTATGCAGTTGTATGTGAACCAACTTACCGCCACCTACTGTGATGGAGGCGCACAGTAACTCAACAGAGAGAGTCATTCACATGAAGAGCCTAAATCTCTTTGAATCAACAAGTTCTCAACTCATTCAATTGATTATTTCTTCATTTAGTTTTAAACAACTAGAATATATATATAATTCACATTTTAGTGTTCTTATTTAAAAACTTTTCAGTGTTTCTAGTTTCATCTGCATCTTAATATCATGGTTTGATGGTTCTGTCCTCAACCAGTTTCATCTTTCGCATTCACATATTCTTCCATCTGTGTTTTCCAACCATGGCAATCTTTCCCAACCAGAACATGTATGTATTGTTATTTGCAAAAATTTGTGACATGGAGGTTGATATGAAATGTCATTCCATGAAGGGACCTGTGAGACGGGCCAGGAAGGTGGAGGGAGGCATATTTTTTGTAAGTATTTTCAAATGGGTCATGCAGATTTTCATCTCTGCCGTCTCTCATTAACAATCTGTTCTGCTTGGCTCTACTAAACGCATGACCTGTTGACCCACAGTATGGACTTATCCA